TAGCTTTTGTGGCAGGGGACCCCAGACCGTCCACCAGCCCCGGTTCCAGCCCACGTCCATCCATCGCTGTGTGCTGTGCTCCACACAGAGCAGGGTGCCAAGCTCTGGTCTGTTTTTGCCAACGCCTGGACCAAGCAGTGCCAGTCTTGCCCGGCAGGCGCAGGCACGGCCACGCTCTCGCTGCGCCTCCCTTCCCCTCCTGCAGACCACAGACGCCCGCCTTCCCGGAGCTCTGGAGGGAGGTGTTGCCATTTGCTCTTATCATTTGTAGCAACAAATTACTTGTTTTGCCTTAATTTTGCAATTACAAGGCGGTAGCTCTGGGCTACAAGCAAATGCGAACGTCTCAGGCTGGGGAGCAAAACCGTGTCGCACATGCACCCATCCCCGCACCAACCAGCAGCGGGGAATGACGTACACGGCAGTCGCCGCTAATTAGCCGCTAATTTTACAGACTTCTTTATGGTTTGCAGTCTTTTAACCTTTCCCGTGAGCTGGAGCCCTGCAGCCAGAGCTCTCCCACTGGGCACCAGGACGGCTCTGCGGTGGCTCCCCGGGGAGAACGGGACGGCAGTGCCAGAGACAAGAAGGATGCCCGGCGCCAGCCACAGCCCGGTCCCCGGGATGCTGGGAACAACCCGGGAAGCATCGGGAGGCACTCGCCGCCTGGCTGAGGTCGAGCTCGGGGTGGTCGCAGCCCCCCTTGTGTGCTCCCACCTCCCCAGGATGCCGGATCTGAAATATCTCCCCCCTACTAAATACAAAGCAGAAATTCAGATCCTGCATGATAGTGGGTAAAACTGCTCGTGCTCCAACAGCGACCCGTGCAAGCCCACATATAGGTTCAATTTAGGCCCAGTTTTGGAGATTTAAGCAGCGCCATGGCTCGACACGGGCTGTCTGCGCGAGCACGTTTCCTCCTCAGAGCCTACATCCAAGCCACGGGTTTGATAAGTATCAGGATACCGCATTGGCCTCAAATGGAGAAATTAAACGAATACCTTGCATATTTTGGCGATTCACGCACGTGAGCAGCTGTAATTGAAGACACGATCTGTCTCGCCCTTCAGCATGTATTGGCAAATTACAGCCTCTCGTTATTTCCCCGAGTTTAATCTGCATCGAAGCAGAGGCGTTCGTCTCGCGTTCGCCCCTCGCAGGGAGCGCAGCTCCCAGCGAATCCCTCAGAAAGAAGAGACGCTCCAGGCTTATCTTTGCCCGTTGTGCAAACACCCGTGCCGAGAAACCCCAGCGCACGCATGGGCGGCTGCCCCGGCCCAAGCCGGGTGTCTCGGCATGTCTGTGCCGCCCGGCGCTGGGCACAGCGGGGATGTGCTGCGCGGGGGTCTGCAGCGCGCAGAGTGCTGCCCCGGGGAGCCTGGGTAGGCAGGAATATCCCACCACTGGGTTTTTCTTCCCTCTCTTCCCCTCCTCCCCCAATACTGTACTTCCAGGGTAACCTGGAACAAGGCAGACAACAAAAAAAAAAAACCAAACTCAGCAAACCGCATCCCCGTCCTGTCTGTGTGGCACAGGAGCCCCAGCAGCGATCCGGCTCTGCCAGGAGCCTCCTTTGACGTGTGGAGCCCAAGGGCACGGGGACACGTCCTCTGGGCAGGCTGGGCTGCACCCACCACCACGCTCCAGAGGGAAACCCCCTCGCAAAGAGCCCGAGGGACCACAGCAGGCTTCTTCCCATGGGAAACCCAGCTGAGAGCTGCAGCACCCCCTTCTAATGCCTCCGGCTCCCCTGGGAGCCCATCGCCATCCATGTGGGTCCCACTGTGGATGGACGCAAGCTCTGGTAATACAGCTTTCCAGCAAGGATGTGCTTGGGCTCGCAGCTCTCCTGAAGTCTCACGCACCCACAAAACATGGGGTCCATTAGAGGTTGTGGGTACGTTGAGGGCAGGGGGTGCAGGAGCCCTGCCGAGCAGCACCTCCATGATCCGCCACCCAGACTGGGGTGCTCTGCGCCGCGGCTCCCACCCCGCAGCCAACATTTCACCCTGATGTTTATTAGCATTTATGCGACATCTATTGTTCAGTTTTTTAAGTACACAATAAAGTGCATGAGGTGAGGATGCAGCTCAGGGTTGATGTTCATGTCAGGTCCCAGGGCTTGGCTGTGTTCAGCTGAATGTAATGGAGCTGAACTCCTCGCAGGGCTCTGGAGCACCCACCCACCAGAATGGGGCTGATGGAAGGAGGGTTTGCTCCTGTCAACTCCAGCAATCTCTACCTGGAGGGTTTTGGGGTCATAGCATTGACAGAGACCCCTAAACAGCCTCTGCCTCAAACTGCAGCTCAGTCCATTGCAGGGAGGAGCAGAACAGGCTGCTTTAAGCCCTGCTCTGGGGATGTCTGAGCCAGGTGGAGCAAATCAGCCCCATCAGTGTCCCCGGACCCAGCCCTGCCCTTCGCTCCCGCTCACCCATCAGCTGTGCAGGAAAGATCAGGTCCACAGTGCCCCAGTTCTGGTTCCACCAGGTACCAGACAACCCAGGAGGTTCAAAACCTCTTTGAGCACCCAACCTGCGACCCCTCAGTGCCTGTTTCCATCCGAGCACCATCCGAGCTGGAGCAGCACAGGCAGCTGGTCCCTGCCGGTGTCCCCCGCATCCCACCGGAGCCCCTCGCATCCCTCCGGAGCGGCAGTGCCCGGTTGTTGCCATCCCTCTGCTGCGCGTGGGCTGGACAGGAAAAGCGGACAATCTCCAGTATTGCATCTTAGGAGCCATCAGTTAAATGAGCTATTTTAATTAAGTGCAATCTAAGTTATGCGGTAATGTCAGGAGAGATGATAGAAAACACTCCCCTTGGCCTAGCCAGCAGAGAAGGATGTATTTCATGAGCTTCATTAGCCCATGACCCGTGACGGACCTCATCCCACGTGCGTGCTCCTGCGCGCTTGCACACACGCTGCACCCACAAACCCTGCTCGCTTCAAGCCAGACTTCCCAGGAGAAGACAAGGCCACCCAATTTCTGTCCCGCCATCGGGGACGGCTGAATGGAAAGCACCGCAGTCGGGGTTAGCTCATCTGGACAGCCAGCACGGAGCTGCGCCGTGCAGCGTGCCATGCCCCCACGCCTGGACGGACAGACGGATGGACACGGGATGTGGCAGCACCTCCCGCCTGCCCTGAGCGTTTCCTGAGCATTGCATCCCCGGCAGAGCCTTGACGCTTCGCCCACCAGAGCCAGCGGCTTAAATTAATCTGAGATTAACTAGTTTGATCTCTTGCTTTGAATTTTATGTCTGCGAGATTTTTTTTTTTTTTTAAAAACGCAGAGAAGTTAATTTCCAGCAGAGCTGTCGTGCTGCTGGCAGGCACAGCCATGGCCATAAAATACCAGCCCCGACTCAAGACGTCAGAGGGGAACAAAGATAGACTGTGATGCAGAAAAGATGCACGCATTTAAAATAATCTCCGAAGAATGCAACACAGCCCTGAAGACACATGTCTCCGGCGTCTCTCCCGAGCTGATCTTTTCCTCTTTAAATAGACTGCACCGCTTATTCCCTCCCGGTGGCTTTCCACTCTTTATTTTGCATCTAATAACGATGCAGTTCAAAACCATCATCTCCTCCCGGTCCCTCCGGGAAGCCCCTCGCCGGGTTCCACTCGCCAAGCACATGGCCAAGCGTGCAGGCTCCTCGGAGGTGGCCTCCATGCCGCCGCCGTGGAGCACCCAGAGCGAGAGCCCGCAGCCCCGGAGAAAATGTGGGTTTTGCAGAAATTCTTGGCAGTCCTCCCACGGCTTCCCTACTCCTGAAATTAAAGGATCGAGCCGCAGCAACCCCTCCATCTAAATTAAAACGAGCTATATTTACTGTTCGTGCTAATTGAATTATATTAACTCTGAGCTGGATGATAAGCAGAGCCGTCCCTTACAGTTCCTGGTCTTAATATGTTTAGCATTCAGACAAATGCACGCCAGTGTGTCATCGTGTTCAAAGCAGAGGAATTTGGTCCTGGGCTATTTTCATCCTGCCCTGACAAGGCTGGCCGGGAAACTCGGGGGCGTTTTGAGGGTTGCGGTGCGGAAGGACTGGAACGTCCAGTACAAATGTGGCATTTCTTCCTCTGGCACTGGGGAATGGAAACCCTGCCGGGGTGGCATGGGTTATGCCAGATGGTGACGGCAGTGCCGAGACGGGCTCAGGGAGACGCCGGTGCCGTGTAGGCACTGAGAAGAGGGTTGGTACCGGGGACGGGAGCGAGTTCTCCCCCTGATCTATAACCCCCCACTCTGCAGGGCTAATGTAAGACAGGATCCAACTTCATCCTCTTCCTCCTGCAGGATCCAGTCCCTGCAGTGCTGTCCCCATTGTCCCCACCCGGGCGGGTGCAGAGCCAGGTAGGGAGATGCACAGCCCGCACCGCCCACCCAAAAGCTGGGGCAGGGAAGGGGTCCAGACTGGGACTGCACGCTGTGAGGCGACAGGACAGAGATGGCAGTGAAGAAGGAGAACATGGCATCAGCCCTAACCCCATTGAGACAAACTTAATTCAAAAAACTCGGGCAGGAGGCTTCAATAAGACCAAAGGACCCTGCCAAGAGTCACACTTCCTATATTGAAGCGCATAAAAGCTGGACATGTAAGACATGAAGAAAGCACTGTCAGGGTAGGCCAGTGCCAGCCAGCAAATATATAATAGTGGGAACATGAAATATTAATCACTGGTGCATAAAACAATAGGAAAAACCTGCCTTTTGAGGCAGCCATCCATCCTCACTCAGCAGGGAACATCAAGAGACGCTAATACCATACAGGTTCTGCTTAATATTTGCCTTCCTTAATGCTCACGCAAGAAGCATTTGCTTTGAAGTTGAAAATAGACTGTAAATGTCTTTTGTGTGAGATGAAACATGATAAGACATGAAACCAGGAGGCTAAACTGTAGTTAATCACGGTGGTTTTACAAGCAACAAATCATTATTGTAGACAGTAAAGTGTATCGCTTAAAAGCATGTGCCACAAGGCTCAGCAGAGAGGAGAGCCCCGGCCGGGCATCACCTGCCACCGGTGGGTTTTCGGGTTGTGGCCCATCGGGGCAGCCACGGGAGCAGCTGTGGCGCTGGACCAGTGCTCGTGCAGGGCTGGACTGATGCTCACAGGGCTGGACTGAAGCCCGGAGCAGCTTTCCCCAGTGGGGCCTTTCCCGGGGACCACAGGGGCAATGCGTTTGGGGGATGGTTCATAGAACCATAGAATGGTTGAAGTTGGAAAGGACCTTGAAGATCTTTAAGTTCCAACCCCTCTGCCATGGGCAGGGACACCTCCCACTAGACCAGGTTGCCCAAAGCCCCGTCCAACCTGGCCTTGAACACCTCCAGGGATGGAGGTTCCACAGCTTCTCTGAGCAACCTGTTCCAGTGCCTTACCAACTTTAAAGTGAAAAATATCTTCCTAATATTTAATCTAAATCTACCCTCTTCCAGTTTATCCAGCTCCTTGCTGGGGCACGGGGAGGTCAGGAGTGCTGTGAGCATCCCCACGCTGGCACCGCCGTTTCGGAGGCTGGCACCAGCTCTGGCGGCACCCACGGTGTGGGATGGGGGTGATTTGTCCCACCCTGGGCAGACTCTGGGAGAGAAGTGCAGGGACGCCACCCCCGAAAACTTGGGATGCGCTTGGGCTGAGAATAGAGACCATGGGGGAATTTGTCTCTTCGGGCACGGGAAGGGCAGCACCACCATCAGCCCAGTGTGTGTCCCAGTGCAGCCGGCAGCCGCTGCCGAGCGCAGGAGCGTGCCTGCACAGCGGCATGCACGGCCGACCGGGACAGGTATCTCCCACATCAAAAATGAAGATCATGATTAGAAGCGATGTGCACTTGGGAGCGTGAGATAAGACCCCAAAGCAAGCGTATATGACTGATTAACAAATAAACCCTCACTAATTGCCTTAAGAAGTCAGATCTCAACAGCCGGGGAAGGAAAAAAAAGAAAGATTTAGATTTTCCTTGGGCTAAACATTTTTCCGGCCCGCTCAGACACGCTCTGAATGTTTCCAGTCATTATCTCCCTAATTAACGCACACTGCAAACTGAAAACAAATTTCCCCACCTCGTGGCTCTGGGAGGTTCAGTCGGATTAAACAAACCTCAGGAACAAGGTCAGCGATTGCCCGGAGAGCGGCATCTTGGGGTGGGAGGCAGCCCGGAACAGGGAGAGATGAAGTTATTATCGGTGAATGAAGTGGAATAAGCCTTTAATTTTCTCCAGCTGTTGCTGGATGTGCCGAGGGACAGGTGAGCTCCCCGGGACGGAGTGGCGAGCCGGGGCGATGGGGACGCACCTCGCCTCCTGCCAGCCACACACCTCTTGGGGAAATCAGGGGCATGTAGCGGATTTTTAATTACATGACTTTATTTTCTGTAATTGACACAAAACCAGCTCCGGCCCTCATTGCATTTTTCACAGCCCCAAAAGGAATTAAATCCCTTTTAAGCAAACTGATGCTCCAGAGACCATCACGGGTACGGCTTGAGGTCATGGCTGGGGCCAAAGGTGCTCATTTGCTGGGACCGGATTGTGCGAGGGCACCCAAACCGGGCTGTGCTCCCTGCCCCAAAGGATGCCACGATGTGCAAAGCCCCAAAAGCGCTGCTTTGGGGTCTCGGTGCATGTTTACAACCAGACGGACCCTCCTGCCCACAGCGTGCCATCCTGCGCACAGAGCTGTCAGCACGGGGGAGCACACGGGCTCAGCTGAAGTGAGAAAAACTGCTGATCAAAAGGTAAAATTAAATAAAACCACACAAACAGAGAAGAAGGAGCCATTCCTGTGAGGCCAGGCAGCCCATTTGAAATTAAAGTGAAAATTTGAGGTAAAAGCAGCCGGGTGCAGGCAGAGGACTGCTTGACCAGCCAGCTTGCCCCTACCGCAGTGCTGGCTCCAAGGAATAATGGTAATTAGAGCTTCCTAATGCCTCCAGGTCTTTTTCTTTTTCCTTGCATAACGTAATTTCTATAGGGCTTGTCGTCTTTATTAGGAGAATTAATCTAAATCTGGCCGCTTTGCCATCCACCGGAGCCATCCCGAGGAGGGTCAAAGAGGAAGGTCCTCTTCATGGCATGCAAATAAAAAAAATTAAAAAATTAAAAAGGGAGGTCAGCTGGAGGCTACGGCGGAGGAAATTAATGATTTTTTAAACAACCAGGGAAGTTTGCGTTGGCCTGGTAACGTAATTCAATTTCTGTCATTTAACCCGCATCGCTGATGTGGGGCCGCTTTTGCCCAACTAAGCAAAATGCTCTTATTAAGCCAGAATTGTCATTAGCGTAATAATACAATGAGGATGAATGGCAGAAGGGAAGAACTGGCCGCAGCCCAGCGGAGGCGATGGGGATGCCCGGTGCCACGGAGCGAGGGAAGGGCAGAGCAGGATTCCTCCCGCACGGAGCACCCGCGGCGGTGCGGGGAAGGATGAGGGACCCCCGTAGTCCCCGGGATGGCTGGGGGTGCTCAGGGGGAGATGGGAAGGGGCAAGTTGTGGGGTCTGCCCTGCGGGGTCGCATCCCACACCCTCAGCACCAGTCGCTGCCAATATGATTTCCTCCCCACCTGAGCCCCAAAATAATACACTGGACCAGAACGATACATAATGGTCTACCATGAAAGATAGAAGAGGTGGAGCCCAATGGACCCGAATACAATAGTGTGCCTGGTCCACATGGCTCCAACCGTTTGAAAATAATAACTATAATCCATCACTCCTGACAACATATGGGTCATGGCCACAAAGCAAGGGAATAGCAGGACCCCAAGTCCTTGCAACTTCCGGGCTTGCGTACTTTCTGGTTGAAAGTACCGGAACATAGCATTGTCTGGGGAGGTTTCCTTCCACCGCAGCATCTCAGGGGAAACCACCCCCAAAAAATACCTGCCTGCCGCAGTGCCGCGGGCGAGGGGCAGCGGGAGGTGTCCCAGGGATGGATGGTCCCGTGGTCCTCCAGGGTGGGAAGCAAAGGGGCGGCTCTGGCCCTCCCGGACTTGCGTGGAGGTCGCCAGACCAGGGGCGAAGCAGCAGATCAGGGGATTAATCGGTGGAAAAGCAGCTTGAACCTTCAGGCTGAAACCTGATTAGTAACTAGAGCCGGAGGTTGACCCACACATGGGGAAGGCAGTGAGGGCAATGCCATGGGGCAGGAGCCAGCGGCGGGGCAGGAGGGAGACGTGGCACTGGCTTCTGCACTCCAGAGCGGACTTTGCCCACTTGGAGGAGGGAACTGGAGTCTGGCAAAGCCCAGCTCAATCCTCCAGCCTCCATGAAACTGGTATCCAACTCCGATGGGCTGAAAAGACCTTTGAGAGGCAGAGTGGGTTGCAGCTTCCAGTCTTGCAGGCAGCTTTGTGCATGGAAACTATCATGAGACAGCACTAAAACTCATATCCCCTCTGCCCAGAAAATCCTGCCAGCCCAGAAGGTACCAAGAACACCATGAAGCAAGCTAAAATCAGCTTCAGTTGGGCAAAAATGCTAACTGGAATGAAAAGGAAACCTTCCCAATCAAAGTTTTGACCCTGGGAATGCCCAAAGGCCTCCAATGCATCAGCATCCCCCTTTTACCCAGCAAAACCTGGGAGAGCAGTAACAGATACAGGATAAAACCACACGCACCGACCTCAGGCCAATCCTTTGGGTTGTGAGACCCTGCTGGATGCAAGACACCGTGTGTCCGTACCTAGGGATGCGGGTCCATGGATGGAGACAGAGCCATCAGATGCAATCTGCTCTCAGCTTTCTGGCCAGGGCTTCAGAGACACAGAAGCGTGCCCCGCACTCATACCTGCATTTGTACTTGCCTGACACGCATCCCACCACTGGCACAGCTTCCCCATCCTTGCATCCAATACTGGGAAAACCAAGCAGAGACGGAATCCCAGGACAGATGCGCCAGGCACCATCAACAGTGCTTTTTTTTTTTTTTTTTTTTTTTTAAAAAAAAGAGGTTATCTCTCTAACACAGTGAATCAGTGCTTTATTTTAAGTATTGAAAGAGGTCCAAGACCAGCAGGGAACTCCAGGTAATGAGGTGGCACATTGTACTTCTTATCAGTGCCCTCATAACAGTGGGATTGAGGCAAAACACATGCGGAGAAAAGCCTCGGATGTGCCCTGAGCGCAGCTGCACTGTAACAGCACCGGCAGCGCAGCCTCACCAAACCACCCACGCATTGCACTGGAGTTGTACCACCGGACCCACGGGTCAGCGAAAGCTTTCACCATCTTCAGAAATCCTTGTGTATTGATTTCAAAGAGGAGTTGGTTTCTGGGCAGAGAGGGAAGGCCAGGAATCAGATGCTGAATTAAGGAGTTAGGAGTTAATTAATCAGTGTCACAGCCCTTCCGAGTGCAGAGGGAACACAGACATGATTCCTAAAGCCGGAGTCGTGCAAAGCGCAGCCCGTGAGCCTGATGCCGCCTTCCCCTGCACCAGCGTACGGCAAGGAGGAACCGTTAGTGACCCCGGAGTTTATAGCACAGTGATATATCTGGTGTAAGGCCAAGTCAGAATCAAGCCCAGAGGACACGGGAAATCTAGAACTGTCTCTACTGTGTGCAATATGGGTAGAGGGGTAAAACACCCGGATGCTGTCTGGTGGGATCATAAAATCATCCTTGCCCTAGCATCCTGGAAGGGTTTATATAGGGCAATTCATACCATGATCCCAGCCCAGAATAGCACCAGAGATTAACCTAGACTCTGACCTCAGCTAATCCAGCGTTACTCCCTGGAAATGCCAGCGGAGTGACTCCGGACTGCATCGGTGCCACGGCAGAATGGGCCCCTCCTGGCTGTGATCTGGAGAGTGTCCTGCCTCGGCTGAAGTCAACAGCGAAACCGCCCCAGAGCTCAGCAGAGGCAGGACTGCAGGCACGTGTGCTGTTTTCATGGACAAAGCCTAAAGGACTCGGCAGTAGCTGCTGCCGGGAGGATGCTGGGGAGAACAGACGGTTGGGGAGGGGGAAAGGGTGGGTAAAGTGAAGAGCTGTAGCCTTTGCATCACCCCAGTTGGTGTGAAACACCCTCAGGCACAGGTCACACAACCCGCTGCCCAGTGAGTGCGGAGCTTCAGCAACCCCCTTTTCCCCTCGCCTCCCCCGTGCTCCTCCCAGCGTCCCAAATCGGAGCAGCCCTGAGAGGGAACCGGCCCAGGGAAACCAGGAGCTTCTTCAGGGTTTCTCTGGCTCCCGGTGGCCCCTTGACTGGATGGTGCACCCCAAGATGTGAACGCAGGATCAGCCCAAGAGCAGTGTGCCAAGTAGAGCAGCTCGCTTACTTCTCCTTCAGGTCCTTGTCTGCTTTGCCTAAAAGAGGAGGAGAAAAAAAATCAAGGCTTGTGTTTCTTGCTCCGGAACCCCCCAGCCCCTTTTACACCGTTATTTTGCCATGTGCAGCTAACACCTCACAACCATCGCAGTCCGACAAGCGGGACAACAAGTCATGGCCGGGCTGCTGCCCTGAACTTGGCTTCCTGAAGGCTTTTTCTGACTCAGGGGAAGGAAACAGCACGGTAACCACAACGGCAAGAAGCCCTGCCCTTCCCCACACACCCCCTCCCTACCCGTAGGGCAGCTGCGATATTCAGAGCTCCCACCTCACTTCCCCGGGGAGTGAACCAGCAAACCCTCCCAGTCCCGTTTTTGCCACCGCAGGAGCTCCCCTTCCTTCCTTCGCACCACCAGCACGAAACCCCCAACGCTCAGCCGCCCCTCGGACACGCGGAGACCTGCGGCCGCATCCAGGAGCTCCAGCACAGTCCGCATTTCACAGTGGGAGGTCAGGGAGCCCCCGCCGAGCCGCCAGCTGAGCAGACTGATGCAGGCGAGATTTCTTTAGGGTGCAAAGCAGCTCCGCGGTTTATCTGAATGGCCAGCGACGTCCCGCCGAAAGCAGCGCATCGCACTCAGCGTGGCCTGGCTATCAGCAGCTTCCCCCAAAATAACTATGTGGGCTGAAACAGCTGCCAAGCCGCAGCCTTTACCTTTCGGGATGAACTTCAGCGAGCTGCTGAATATTCAGAAGCGGGACTGCCCCCTCTTCGGCCCGTCGTTGAGGAACTCATGGCCGAGCCCGTTGCCACACTTGCCACAAGAAACCTGGAAATGCAAGGAGAGGGTTCGACAGCAAGCGGCCTTTCTCAGCAGACAGGTTCATGAAAAAAAATAAAAAAAAAAAGCCTGTGGGATTTTTTTTTTGCTCCTTTCCGAGGGCTTCGGAATCAGCACCTTTAAAGCTCCCGGCCGCTCCTTGCGCTTGGACACGCTGTCCTCATGGACGGTCTCGGTGAAGGCTGGCCACGGGGACGAGTGCTCGTACTTTGCACGGCTGGAGAAGAGCTCATGGCCGCACTTGGCACAGACGTAGATGCCTGTGGAGGGTGGCAGGAGAGGGTTCAGTGCTGGGGGGCAGCCCCCCGGCCCTGCTCGTCGGCGGGGTGACACGGGCCACCCGCACACACTGGATTTTGCCAACACGGGCCACCGCCACCAGCTGCTGCTGGACCCCCAGGGCCAGGCAGGCGAGCGGGAGCTTTTGGGACATCAGGCAGGACCCCCATCCCTTATAGGGGCTCCTCTACAGCATGCCTGCCCCCCGAGCCAGCCCTTACAGGGACCCTCCAGCCCCACCTCTGCAGGCAGAATCTCCCCCATC